CAGCTCCTCCCTGCTCTGCCCTGCTCAGGGGGTTGGTGCTGTGCTCTGGCTCTGTGGTGTTGGGAAATGCTCTGGAGGTGTAGCTTGGCTGCTGGGGACACAAAGCACACCCTGGTGTGTGTAGGGAGCACCTGGCCCGTGTTTCATACCCCAGCCYTGTTCAGATGCAGGATTCAGGTGGGAATGTTTGCACACACAGCACTGGCAGCTTCGCAGAGCTCCTGGGATGAGCAAGTGGCTCCTGCACGAGCTGTGCATGGATTCTGCTGCCAGTCTGGTTTATCAGTGATACATTCAGAAAGCAGATGTTTTCCATGTTTTCCATGTTTGAATATGTATTTTTAGCTTGTTTACTGGGTCTGTTAGGGAAATGTGAATGGTTATTCGTGGGTGAATAGTGTGTGCTTACAGGTTATAAATGTTTCTTGTGGAGTATTAGTTAACATTTTTAAAAGTACACTGGTGAGTGTAGAGTTTATATGGGATATTTACATGGGTGGATCTATCCTGTGTGAGCTACTTCAACTCCCAGAAGAGATGCAGCCTTGTATTTAAATGTTCATTACAGCAAAGAGTGGGTCAATTGTGCTTTTATTCCCATGGTTTATTGTCCTGCACACGCTGGYGAGCAGCAGGGAAACGGATCCAATTGTCAGAGATGATAACTCTGGAAGAGGTGTTCTCCAACACCTTCAGGAAAGTTCAATACATTCACTAAACAAAATCTCTTTGAGGGAAAGGACAATCCTGGAGCCTGCCTGACAGGCTTTGGAAATGTCCCCAAAYCCACACAAGTGGTGGCCAGGCTGCACAACTTGAAAATAGGCTTTGAAAATACAGGGAACACAGGGTGCCCCCAGCCCTGGGGGGATCCTGTGCCCTGGGTCTACTCAGCTCAGTGAGGAATGCAGAAGGAGATTCCTTCCATCTCCAGAGCCAGGAAAGCTCCTGGGCTCAGCTCAGTTAGGAACGCAGGAGGGGGTTCCTCCTATCTCCAGAGCCAGGAAAGTTCCCAGACTCAGCTTAGTTAGGAACGCAGGAGGGGATTTCTCCCATCTCCAGAACCAGGGAAGCTCCTGGGCTCAGCTCAGTTAGGAACCCAGGAGGGGATTTGTCCCATCTCCAGAGCCAGGGAAGTTCCCAGGCTCAGCTCCAGGAGGAATGCAGGATGGGATTTCTCAGGCTCAGCTCATGCAGGCACTGTTTGAAGCCTCCATTCAGGAGGTCACTGGGCCATATTTGCAGATTCCAAACACAAAACAAGTCTTGTCCTACCCCCCACACCCTGGGATGGATTTGCACATGCCACTCCTCATCAGCAATCCCACCAACAGCCCAAATCCCTTACRTGAGGACACCTGGATTCCCAGACTCCACAGTCTCCGGAAGGAGCAGTTCTGTGGGATGGAATCTCAAKGGCAATGAGCAGACAGAAGAGCTTTTGGGATATTTGCAGTGACCAGGGCCATTTTCCAGGCTTGCTGGCCTCACCAGAGGGACCCACCAAACCTCTCTCATGCTCAGCTGGGCTGGACAAAGCAGGTCCTTGGGCAGAGCTGATGTACCACCCCTCTGAGGGCTCCAGCTCCTCTGGCTTGCACAGCCCCACTTCAGTTTTACTTTCCATTTCCATCTCCTGCATTAGGAGATCACTTCAGCTACAGAGGAAAAATATCTGAAAACCAGTTTTGACACCTAATTCTCTTGCAGARGTCRGGTGAGAARAGGTCTCAGAAAAGGAATGAGCCAYTYTAAGGATCTCRTTTTTCTCTCTGTTTTGTTCTCTCTGTTCCTCTGAGGCTCAGGATGGCAAAGAAGAACCTGAGCAGAAAACTAAAAATGAGACCTCTGGAAAAGTTCTGCTTTCTCCAAGGCTGCAAAATGCGTTCTAGAACTGATGAGCGTTTCCATCAGTGTGCTATGTAAGTGAGAGATAATTCCTGTAGTAGGAATTATTCTGGAATTATTATTATCCTGGCTGCTGGTTCCTAACCTGGTTTAACTACAGAGCCATGCCATRGTCATTTTTCCACTCCCTCACAAAATCCCCACAGAGTTCTCTTTTACCTACATTATAACATTACACGTCTAGGTAAATGGTATTTCTGACCACYATGGATTGTGTTCTCCTCCTTGTTTACATGCCAGTAAGACCACTGCTTTCTATTTCCAGTTTATCCTGTCTTTGTATGAAAATCAAGATGTAAACTGTATTCAGATCCCAAGTGTGCAGCTCAGTCCAGGTAACAGACATTTATTCCCCAGATATGGATACAGTCCTTTCTCTATAGAAAATAACTCTTTTATATTCTTCATTTAATTTTATTAAAGAAGTAATTCTGCAGGTATCCTATTTTTYCCACCAAAGTTTGGAGGAGCAAGGSAAGAGATTTTCTCCAACAAGGCCATTTTTATTTTTCTGTGTTGTTGAAATTTGTGCAATCTTTCATCTCACAGACTGCTTTTCTTCATTCCTTTTCTGGGTGAGACAATCCTCTTTGGGAAATCTGGTTCTCTGCCTCTTTCTAAAGATCAAAATTGTTGGCTTCAGTGATGTCAGTGTGTGTTCCCATTACCTGCAGGAACATCAGCACCTCAACCTTTTTTTTTTTAAATACGGGCCTTGCAGAAGAGCAGAGAATTTTGCAAACTGCCACTTACCCAGGCTACCTACTCCAGAGCCTCTGAAATTCCAGAACATTCCAACCCCCAGGTGGTTACTTCCTTTGTTTTAAATCATCAATTGGAWCTGCAACTGGGACATTCAGGCCAGGAAAAAAACCACAAAACTGGAGCAACATCTAAACTTTCTCTGACCATGGGTAGCCTGTGAAATGTGTCAGAGATTCCATGAAAAGAATGCATGAAACATTTCCACTGGAGAAAMATTGGATAAACATGTTAAAGGTCTGCAGGGAAACTGCCCCGCTCCTATCAGACATTTTGCAGGAAACCAATCCCAGTGTCTGTGAACCTGGAAGAAAACACTAAAATCTGTTTGTAAAATTCATGAAGGCAAAACACTTAATAGCAGAAAGRTTTTCTACTTTTCTTTTAATTTCGCTGTAACAATGTCTACAATACACTGACTCACAGATTAAGTGAAGGTATGAAATCACATTCTTCATACTGAGACGGGACATTCTGGACTGGTTAAACGCCCTCTCAGGAGGGGCAGAGTCCTGCACAGCCAACGAACACCTTTTGAAAGAGCCAGTGGTGGGAATTTTGGTTTGAGCAGTGGTGAGAAGAGTGAGCCTTGTCCGTGGAGATGGAGAAACTTTGCAGAGGAGGCAAAGCTCAGAGCCCCGGGAGCAGGGAGGGAAACTGAGGCACAGTGCAGTGCAGTAACTCCCGGGATGAGCAGCAAAGCTGGCCACGGGTCCTGGCTGTGGCTCTGGTCAGCTCCCAGCCAGTGCAGTGTCCCAGGTCAGTGCAGTGTCCCA